CAGAGAAACCCCCATGAGTGCTATTATCAGAGAAACCCCCAAAATCTACATTTGTTAGATCAATTTCACGATGGGATACCCCTGATCCATAAATCAAGCAAAATCGCAAACCTTTTAGGGCAGAGGATGATGAAATGTTGTCCATTCGGCCATTTACGCCATCGGCGAGCTTCATAGAGGTGTCCGTCGACGCCATGTTGATGGTGAAGCGACGAAGGGTTGTGGGTCTCCCGAAATCAGGCGTCGTAAGAAAACGGGAGATCAGATATGTGGAAGAGAAATAGAGACGAGCTCAGCACATCCTTCGAGCGATGTGGAGGGGAAGAGGGGGAAGGATTTGGGAGGGCAACTGGCTTTCGGCGATGGAGGTTCGACTGGTTGGGCTTTCGGAGCCCGAGAGGGGTAGAGGCGTAAGAGGTGCGATGGAAGCTAAGGACGGATGCGGATCGGAGGTATGACCTCGTAATCTGCGTGTAATACAATTTACAAAATGCCGTTGTCCGATAATTTATTAAAACTTGAGAATCAAACGTTTAGGCGGCGTTTTGAAAACGCTGCCGCACTTATAAGCTGTCGCAAACAGACCCTAATTTGGAGGCCGTACAACAGATATAATCTAGCTTCAAGGCAATTCAATTTACAGCCGTTGTCAAATACAGTACTTTGAATCTCGTAGTAATTGATGTTCTTCACAGTTCTCTTAATTCAAACTTTCATTTGACTCACCCAACTAATATTTGTAAACGCTTTTTGACAATTTGCTTTGGCTCTCCACAATCCATGCAAGTAAAAAACCTGCTTCAAAGAGAGGTTCTCTAATTGTATCAGAATCGATGATTTTGAAACTTTTATGTCTATGTGGGACATTTTTATGTCTGTTTTGTATTTCAAACCGTTACTACATTTATGTTTGAGAAATTCTTGTGATAACAAGCTACTTTTTACAATCAGATTTTGTTTGACTTTCTAAAAAACAAATATTTATAATTCACATGCAAACTTCCTGAAAATTGTTTTCCTTATCATAACTTTATAATCATCTTTATAAAAAATTGAAGCAGTTCCAAACAGATATAAGTTACCAAACCACAGCATGACAATTACAAAAATAGTGAGCTCAACATCACTGAGCAGTGATCTTCTATACGACATACTTCACCGTCTTGACGGTCCTTCTCTAGAGAAAGCTGCGTGTACCTGTGCTGACTTCTGTTCCTTATCAAAAGAGGAAGTACTATGGGAAAATGCATGTCGTTCTCTTTGGCCTTCAACTCATAGAGATGATGTTAGGAGCTCATCTCCTCCATTGGTGGGCTCAGAAGGTTCTACGCCGATTGCTTTCCCCTTATCGTCAACGAGGACATCCCCGCCGTTCCAACCGACGACAATCTTCCATATCCCGCCTATTGGAATGAGGATGATTACTATGGGGACAGTGATGAAAATGAAACAATCTTCCCTTCTGCTTTTGTTTCCATTGTGGATGTGAGGTACAAGGAAAAAACAGTATGTTCAAAAGTCTTATGGGGAATTCCTGATTCTGACGGTTCTAATGGTTGGTTTCATACTTGCCCATTTCGAATCGACCTGCTCCGCTATTCAGATGGAACCGGTAACGGGGATGGTGATGTTATGCTCTCAGTTGATGACGGTTTGCCGTCCATCACATCTTTAGAGAGAGAGAGAAAAGATGGGAGATTGTGGAGGGATTTGCACGAGGGAATTGTGCTAAGCTGAATCATTGTGAATAGAAGATTGAAGCAAGCAGCGAATCTTACGAGCTGGAGACCGCTCGGGAGGCAGAGGCATTGGCCGACTGATCGAAACTTCGTTCTTCGATTCGGATCGATTCTTCCGGTGAAAGACATTCCCCCATGCCAGGTTGCAAAATGCATCATTGTGATGAAATTTAGTATTGTGGGTGCAGGGAATGGAGAGGGTGGTATGGCTACAGGTCTGAGATTAACTGAGTTGAGTATGCAGGTGGAGAATATGGCGGGAGCTCATGTTAATGGGCGGAATAGTCTGCTTGTTTTAAAAGAAGCTTTGAGTTGCAGGAGAAGCAGAAATTATGGGGAAGTGTTGGAGTACTGTCACTTGTATTTGAAGGCTCAGAATGAGTTTAAAGAGGAGAAAATCATGAATGAAAGCTGGTTTGATAGGGCTTATATAATAAGCAGCATTGCAGTAGTTGCTGCTTTTTTGCTTTTGTTGCATACTTTGAAAATGTAAAATTGTATCCTAGAAATGTTCTTGCCTTTTCTTTTTATAAATAGATTCACTTTGCTGTAGGCAAGAGATTAGTTTATATTTATCCTGTGATGGGCTGTGTTTTGACAATATATGTAGTTGTTTTATACATCGACATTAGATTGTATGAAAATTTGTGTATGATTGACTTAGATTTTAGAAGATAATAAGCTCTAAGTTTGCTTTTAGGAGGAATAGTGGATTTTACTTGTTCTTATGCTTAATGCTAAAAAATTATAATAGATTTTTATGAATTTAATTCGCAGTTTGTTTATTATGTGAAACATGAAGATCAACTTAATGTTTTTTGACTTTGGAAACTTTATAACTAAAATATAATTTTATATCCTAAAGTTATCTCACTTGTGGCACTTGATTTTATCTCATATCTAAGGGAATAATGCTTCAGCTGTTAGATATGTAAATACATAAATTATGATGTATTTACATATCTAACAACCTGAAGTTTGACAGTTACACTAATAACACCTTGTATATTAAACCTATGCATGAGAAGATGAATTTCACTTTTAAAAATTAGGGACGATGGTATTTTTGACGTAATGTTAGATTTGAGTGGTATGCATGCAAAAGAACATGATTTACAGCTTCTGGACCCTAAGAATCCTTGAAGGTGCTCTAGAATAAGATTTTCTCTAAATTTTCTCAAGTGATAATAAACATGAATGCACCTCTTTTTCAAAGCAAAACATCACTGTTTATTTGTCTTTCCAGAATCATTACCGTTCATTCATGTCATTAAGCAGAATGTGTACAGAAAATACAGTAACTATCCAAATGTTCTTCACAAACCAGATTCCCAAATAGCAGCAGCTCGTTCTTTTACAGTTTGATAGAAAGCCTGAACAAGATGAAGAAGGAAAAAATCTGCTCCATCTCTTGCTAACAAAGAAACTGAAACAGGAAGGCCATCTTGCATCCCAAGTGGAACAGGGATCTGTATACAAAGCCAGAAAAAAAAAGAGAGGAAAGATTTACATGCATACCACTCAATTCCTATAGATTTACATCTCTCACCTAAATTTCAATTTTTACATATATGTCATCTTACCTATACATGAAAAGGTGTATTTCACTTTCTAAGGTGTATTTCACTTTCTCTATACATGAAAAGGTGTATTTCACTTTCTAAAAGGTAAAAAAGTGGTATTTGAGATGTGATATGAAGGATTTGAGTATTACAAGTGTAAAAAAGTAAAGTTTAGCGGTTAGAAATGTAAATACATAGGAATTGGGTGGTATTAATTAAAACTTGGAGCAGATTATGACTGTATTGTATCAAATATAAAAGGAAGAAAAATTCAAATTTGATTACCTGGCAAAAGCCAGACATGCCTGCAACGGCTAGCAAACTGAAAGCTTTGGCACGAAAGTCGCTCAATGTAATACCATCCAGGTTGAGGTTTGGAGGTGGCCCTGGAACGGTAGGTATTACAAGGACACCGTAGTCCTGAATAAAGAAACAAGAGAAGAATTACACTATAATGTTGCCAAAGAGGCACTAATTTGCAAAAACTAAGTAGTCTGAGGCCAAAAATGTAATTGAAAATTTAAGAATTGTAACTCCCAAAAGGTCAGTCCAAACAGCCTTGAACTCAGCCTTTAATTTCCAGCAGCTTTCTAAATTATCATCTGTTGATGCCAGGGCATCCATTACTCTTTCTGATATTCCAGGACCCAAGTTGGGTTTCACATTATTTAACCATTCTTCATGATTACACTTAAATTCAAACCTGCCAAAAATAACAATAATTCAGCATTATATTTTATACTATTTTCTCTATGAAAATTATATAACCATAGGTTTCCGACTATGATAACTGAAAAATATTTTCTTGGTAGAACAATATTTTTTCAAAATTAGAGTAGTAAATTGGTGCCATTGTAGAGGGTAACTTCAGAAATTTGCTAAACAATTGAGGTGTCAAAATAGTCATTTGACTATTTACATAGGGTCATCTTAGCCCTAGAGTTTTAAAAAGAATTAAAATTGTCCCCATTCTCTTTTGAGGGAGCTAAAATAGTCCTCTTTTGGACTCTTTTAACCGATATTAAACGATTTTGAGGGCAAAACTGACACTTTTATAGCCTCCGAGGTTAAGGGCCTGTTTGGAACAGCTACAGCTTATCAGATAAGCAACTTATCTTGAAACACGACTCGCATTTAATGTAAAAACTCAATTGAGTTCTAGAATGAGCTGTCGAAAAGTTTTTTTTAAACAGTAAAACGGCGATTTCCATACGCCTCAGCAGCTGCGTGGTTTGGAACAGCTTTTTGGAGCATGATCGGATAAAAACTCTTTTTTTACTGTTTGAATAACATTTTTCGAGGCCACAATTCTCACCGTTTTTGGTGAAATAATAAAGACGCGAACGTGTCTGGCCTCCCGAGTCTGAAATGTTCGTTAAAATTTCCCTTCCTACCCCGAAACCCTCGCTCGCGTCTCCTGCTTCTTCGCCCGAAACCCTCTCCTGCTTCCTCATTGTCAAACCCTCGCCTAGTCTCCTCCCTCTCGTTTTCACTCAAAGCCATCGCCCTAGTGACCAGACCCTTGCGGTAAAATCACGACTAAAGCTAGCTGGTAAGGCAATGATGGCATCGCGAGTTGCAGAGATCACCTAAGGCTTCCCATCCTCCCCATTTCCTCCTTTATATGGTATTTCTTCGACCGATTAGTCCATTGACATTGATACTTAATGTCGCAATCACATTGAGTGTTACTAATACACTTTGTATTGTTATTCTACATCTTATAGTTTGCTTGGCTGATTTTGATTATGCGCGCCACCAACTTTTGTTGGACTTGATTAGACATATATAAGAATCATTCAATTGTGATATTTTTACTGTGCGTTAAAGATTTGAATGGTATCAATGTCAATGTCAAAGTTCAGGTGCTACCTATGTGCATTTATAAGAACTATGTGGCATGTATTCGAATGTTCCATGTGAAAAAGCCACCAAGCCTAGAAAAAATATTCACATATTGATGGTGTGTTCCGTCACTGACCCATTAATCCATATGAAACTCGATTTTCTAGTTTTTACTTTGGAAGGTTTGTTGATGTCGATAACTCCTCTTTTTCCAATTTTCTTGCATTCAATATTATAGTGTTTCTCTACTGCAATCATTAGCTTGGATATGTTGAACTTTTAGATAAAATTGCGATATTTTTACTGGGACTTTAAAGAATTGAATGGTATATGTGTGTCAAATTTTAGGTACTACATTAGTTTAAATCGCTCTTGTAACTTTAGAAGAATATTATTCATTATCATGTATTATTTGAAATCGTATATTAACCTGCAAGATACATTAGCAACTGAGCAACATGAGAAAACATATCATATGTTCTTTAGGAGAAAGAAACAAAATATTTTTTTGTGACATTTGTCTGATAGAGATATAATTAGGAAATAGACCAATAATACATTTCAACAAAGAAAGTTGGCAGAATATTGCAAAAAAGATTTAAGAGAAAACTAGAAAATTTTATGACCGAACACATTTAAAAAATAAATGAGATCAGTTAAAAAAAGAATGAAAATTTTGGAAAAAAACTGAAAAGATGATCTACTGAACTTGGCTGAGATTCAATTATAAACACAATAGATGCATCAGCGGATTGGTGGAAGGGGAAATTAGAGGTGGGCTGAATTTTAAATTATTTTTAATTCTATTATTTTATACTTAGAATTACTTGACATTACTTTTCCTTTTGATTGTATGAATGACAAGTTGTGTCAAATATTAATAAATTTAGATATGATAGAATTGAACCCGAGCTAGAGAAGTTTGATCTCATGTTTAGTAGAGTTTTTGTTGTAATGCCTGGATTCCTCAAAAATCACACGAACAAAGAGATATCCCCAATGAACCAATTCAGAGATCATCGCACGACATTAGCGAACATAGTGAATCCAGTCATGCTAGGACTTCACCGTCCTTAAAAGCAAGGGCAAGTCACAATAAAAAGATTGGACCTGCAAATTTGAGGAGTCAAATATCAGAGTTGGTTACGAAATGTACTAATTTATCTTCTGAATCTGATGACACATAAACTTCTCATCTATTCTTGAAGTAATAAAGGTTTAGAGCAAATTGTTGAAGCTTATGAAGTTATGCATTATATCTATACTCCATTAAGCTACTTGAAGATCCTGTAAAGGGGGATCTTTTCATATCTATGACCCCTGCGCGGAGGGTTCACTATCAGCACTTCTTTACGAAAATCACAATGACTAATCTTTTATCATTTCTATGTTTTTCAAAGGGGGTCTGCTTATTAAGTATTTTATTTGTTTTTCAACTTATTATGAAAATATTATGTTGGTGTCTACAATTTTTTAATTTTATAATAAGACAATTACCTATTGCATTAGTTTAAATTTATTTTGTGATCTCATTCTTCTTGTATTGTGATGTGATGTGCTCATAATATATTTTACTAAAATGTTAGTAGTTTTCATATCTTATAATGTAGTAATGCTCCTAATTTTTTTCAGCAATGGATGCTACTGATAGAAAACATTCAAAAAAAATATTACAACAGCCGTATGTTTGCTGACCAAATACCACGAGTCATATATTTCTCGAACTCCATGCATGACCTCGACTTTCATAAGGGATAAATGATAGGTGAAATTTTTTAGGGTAACATATTTTGCACGAGTCAAGTGATATTTACCTATCTTTTGAATGAACTTCACACTAATTATGGTCTTCATAGCAAGAACGACATCACGGGAGGTATTAAGTATAACATTATATATTTTATCGTATAATCAGTCTATAAGAACTGGTTGCGAGAGATTTCAACACTCAACTGAAATCATCAGTAGATATTTTTCAAGTGGTTTGAATGCTTTGGTATGCATGTCTTCCAAAATCATAAAACCCGAAGATCCAACTTTTCAAGGTATTTTTAGACAAAATTCCTGCAATCGACGGTACATGTCATACTTCAAGATATGTTTCATGCACATGTTTTTCGACATATATTCAAATTCTGAAATCTAAGCTAAAGATGTGATACAGGCTTGTATTGGTGTCACTGAAGGGATACATATTGA